TTATATATATATATATGCTTATATGCAAATGTACAGATAGATACACACAAATGTATATGTATATAGATGAATTTGTCATAATTCATTATCTCCTGTAGACGGCGAAGAGGAACAAAATGCCAACGAGTTGGCCAGTGCTTCGACTGCTGGCGTTGCTATGGCGACTAAGCCAAAGATAAACAAGGAGTCACTGTATAGAGCACCCACAAACGACGAGTTGCGAACACTTAAGGATTCAAAAGACTTGTACAAATCCAATTTGTTCCGTTTAAAGGTATGCCCGTAGACTAGAACCCGCAGGAAAGTATATGCTAGTGTTGTGAGTATATTGTGTACGTTTTCATGTGCAGATGTGTCATTAATCCCGTATTAAAATGGAAAGTTTATTATGGGTGGTCTGTACCTGTTACATATATATATACATATATTTAGATATACATATATATATTGACTGGGAGAAGGCTTAAGACATGCCAATCAGGTGTATTATTCAGTAGAACATTCCTTTTGCACTCCATTGATCTGGTTTTCTGCTTGGAGTGTAGCGTACGCGCTTGTATCTTTTGAATTTTTTATTTGTTGTTTATTTGAGAGCTTTTCATTTATAGGTCAGAGTATGTACAATAAAGATAGTCGTGAATATAGTTTCAGTATGTATGAGTGTAAAGATGTGTGTTTGTATACGGACATGCGTACATGCATTCCGATACATAAAAATCGCACATACAATCAACTGGTTGTTATTTCACATACAACGCGAAGCTACAGATATAGATGCCTATTAATGTATGCCCATGTGTCCAGAGAAAAACTATGTCACTGGTTTAGTTATAATCAATTTAAAATGTGCAGTCCGATGACCGTCAACCCCTAAAGCTTTCTTCTGCTCCTATTCGCTATATACAACATTTGTTTGTTCCAAAATAATGATGAATAACAAACAATTGTGCGTATGTATTAACAGAGAACCTCGCACATATGATACTGATCTATATATACATCGTGATACTGATTTAGTATATACATACATCATGATTTTGATATATATACATGATAATTATATATATGTATATATATATATATATATATAAATCGTGATACTGAAACTGATTTTGAAATACATATGCATCATTATACTGTTATAATATATGCATACATCGTGATACTGTTATATTTACATATACTGATATATAGATATATCGCCCCTATTACTTTTAATTAGACGGAGGAAATGCTGAAAGAAGTGAAGGTAAACTATGAGGCCCAGCCACAAGCCGAGGCGTTTTTGCACAAAGTTCGCAAAATTATCATCGAGATCCCAGTCTCAAAGAAAAGTCGAGAGTACACGCACGACCAGTGCGCAATCGGCGATGTCAAGTATGGCAAATGATAAATGTGCTTCATCCATTTGTTATACATTGAGTGCGTGTGGTAGTCATTGAGTACGTGTGTGAAAGGATGCTATGACAAGGCAGTGGTGTAGTACTGGAGATGTGGTAGTGGTGTAGTACTGGTGATGTTATAGTAGTCGGCTGTAGCCGCTGAATATGTGCCACACTTCGTTGTCGTTTCAATCTGTGGTCTTTCGGAGTACAAATACTTCTGGCTGTTTGCGACAGTGATTCTGTCAGTGCTTCGTTCTGGTACTACTGGGTTATTTAGTGCCATTAAAAGCTTCTTAATGTCAGTGTCATTGAAAGCTCCTTAATGTTAGTGTCATTTAAAGCTTTTTAATGTTAGTGTCGTTGAAAGGTCCCTAATGTACATTAGATCCGCGATGGAGTGTATAGCCTCTGGAGAGGGGTCTTGTTTATCCCTCGAGTGAGTTTTAAAACGCATGTGCTCCGTAACTCGCGCTTAAACCTTCCCTGTACACCTAGACGCGATACATCTATGCTCACTCACTCACCTTTACCCCCCCTTGATATTACACCCACAGAACACCCCTGCCAAGGTTAGCAAAGACCCCGGTCTCATTCAGCTTCCAGACGCCCACATCCGTTAATCTCGTGGGCAGTTATCTTCTACGCACGCAAGCCAAACCGGTACTCTCCATAGACGTGGCCGTGGAAATGCCGATTGCCCTGTTCCAGGAGAAGGACTTTATGAATTACAGGTGAGTGATTGTCTCATAGACCCTGCTTGGTCATATATTATGTGTAGGTATGTATGGCGTATACTGTAAGCACATACAGCTGTGTGGGTGTTGTTGTGTATTACATGCAACTGTGTGGGTGTTGTTGTGTATTACATACAGCTTTCTCACTATATCCGTAGCCGTCGTGCTACCGTGTGCGATGAGTTCTGAAGGCCCTTGACGAATACGACGCTTTCAGTCATGACGCACACTCGTATGTCATGCCCATGGGTGGTGGATGTGCTGTTTGTACGTATGCCTTGCCCGTATTACACAGGTTTTCCTCATAGGCGTGGCTGTGTCTGCCGAGCCCCATGTGTCACTGAGAATAGCTCAG